ATTGAAGAGGAAAAATGACATTTTTTAAAAACAAAATAAAATCAAATTGAACGTGAACAACAATATTTAACAAATTAAATAATTGATTTTTAAAATAAAAAATTAATTTATAACTTACACGACTAGACATTTATTGGCTTATGAAATTCAAGGAAATGATCGTACAATGGAGTGAAAATGGAAATAGTACTTGTAAATGCATCAGTTATGTAATGAATACAAGTGTAAGTACATCAGTTATGTTGGGATTTAGGGCACTTTACTTTATTATTGACCCATGACATCATAAGATAAGAAAAAGAATATGATTAAAGGAAGGATTAAATCAAAGCATCGCTTTATGCTTATGCTTAATTGGAACACGCTTATCAGACACGACATTAAAGAGGGAGTTTTAGGCACTTCACTTTATTTTTTTGTCCATTCATTAAGACTTTTCACTCATCAAAACATATAACAAAACAAAAAATAGGCTTGTCGTTAGATTCCACTAACAGCACTTCCTTAGGTAATTTTCTTTCTTTCTTTTTCAAAATAGATATATTATATTTTCAGAACAATTCCATTAAAATATCAGCGATGTTTGATCGAGTCTGATTACCCACCCAATCTATATATAAATTAAACGAAGCGTCTTTGATTTTCCTCTGAGCTAAGCTAAATCATGATTAGGTTTTGATGGTTGAGATTAGTTCATGTATCAAATCCAATGGTCAAAACATCATTGGCTATGATGAAAGTCAATGTGCTTGCGGTGCGTTATCCTTTTGGCTAAAAAGTCTAAAACACAAGCGAAGGCGAAGCAAAACGACGAGTAATTGGAAACTAAAAAACACATGGATCACGGGCGTCCGTGTGGGGCGGCGAGACCCACCGATCCCCCGTGACTGGCGCGTGTGCTTCATTGGTTCATGACTGTATTGGAACGCACTGTACTCAGCTGCCAGGCGTACTTTCGCTTTCTTATTATAATGAACGCTTCCCCCTCCCTCACGTCACTCCCGAATGTTTCAAATCTTACCAAATCAGTCCTTCTAGTTTTGAAAGCGAGTAAATAGTCTTTCCAGTTTTGAAAAAAGGAATTAAATAGTCTCTTTTGCTTTAAAAATTAATTCATTAGTCTCTTCACTAATGTTGATTAAGATTAATTTAATATTATTTAATTTAAATAAATGTCTTTTTTTTTGTCAATATTTTTTTTTACTTTTTTATATTTATTAAAACAAAACAAAAAGATAAATTTTTAAAAGGAATTAAATATTCTCTTTTTCTTTAAAAATCCGCACTTCTAAAGCATGTATTAGAAAAGCCCTAAAATTAAACACACAGATAGTCACGTTTTCTCCCTTGTTATTAAAGAATAACATAAAAAATTATAACGGATAAATGAACATTAGGCTTTTATTTATCATAAACACAGGCACATGTGGTTTTTTTTTTTTTAAAAAAAAGTTTTTTAGAAATGTCTAATTAATGAATAGGTAAAAATTTAAGAAATTCAAAAAACAAGAAAAAGGTCAATATAAATCTAGTCTCGTGTCTATTATTATTATTATTATTACTACTACTAATGTTATTAATATAGTTAGTAATTTTAAGGTTTGTCTGTCGGTGAACGATATTTATTTACTTTCTTAATTTTTTTGGATTTAAACTTTAGAATCCACACTTAAAAAAAATATATTCAATATTTCTAAATACATTGACTGATATAAGAGATAAATCATTAAAATAACCCAAATAAGAATTTAGTTTTAATCCCTGAATAAATCTAGCTCCAAAATATTATTACGGTCGGAAAAATATCATAATACAAGTAGCTATCTGTTTTAAACCAAGTGGCTGAATGTACGCGTTCTTTTTTCTTTGGCAATTTGGACAGCACAGATTTTGTCTATACCTTCCTTCCTTTCAATTTGAATATCTGGACTTTTGGACGCTACAGATTTCCATAAATTCTGTTTTGAATTTTTCTGCTTATTCCCATCTTTCGGACAAGGTTTCAAGCATTCCGTACGTGTCCTAAAAGAAAATCATTAAACATGTTTTGGTTGAATGTTTCTTTTGCAAATTTAAACATTGCCCTAAAAGGCTCTTAGACTGACCAACCAAAAGCATCTTTAATAAATTCAAATTTGGAAATTTTAAGATCCATTGCAACGATATCATTTAATGTCATTAGTCATTATCGTTATTCAACGTCCAAGAATGATATAATAGAGTTTAACAAAATCTAAAAAAAAAAAATTAATCATTTTTTATAAATCTGAAAAGATTTTATATTAGATGACATATGTCAGTTAATAATAGGTAATCGAATTACAACCTGTTTTACCTAATTTAAAATAAAAAAATAAAAAATAAAAAATCAACAACTTTATAATTTAATAGTAATGAGTTTATTATACTTGTAAGAATTTTGAGTTCAATTTTTTATATTAAAATATTTAAATCTATAAAAAATCTCGTTACTGGAAAAGACAATAAAGAATTTTTTATTTTTGTAGGGACAATCAATTTAGTTTGTAATATAATATAATTCTCCTTCTCCTGCCATTCGAAATCCACTTGTTTCTTTATGGTTTTAACTATGCATATTCTTAAAGCATCTTATATGATTTAATTTGCATAATTAGCGATGTTAAATTATAAAAATAAATTAACAGAAGTAAAAAAAATTTATTATATCATTTAACGTATGTTATGCTGATGGAACGCATGTTAATTGCGAGTGCTTTTTAAATAAAAACACATCAAATTGATGTGTTTTAGATAAATTCCTTTCCAATTGAATCTCAAAAAAATCAATTATACTTTAATTGATGTATTCAAGATAAATGAATTTTTTACTGCATTTTTTTAAATATTAAAATCCACAAACTCCATCGTGAATTTTAAAGGAATTTTGAATTACACAATAAATTAGCTCATTTTTTTTAAAGTATAAATAAAAAAACTCAAATTAATTTACTATACTCGAGAAAACAACCGAATTGGTACGTGTAATTGTAATTATCAAAGATGATTTGAAATCTAGAAACCACTCTGCACTATTTATTTATTTATTTTTTTCAAAATGAGCAATGATACGGGTGACACTATACTACATGATTGATGAAAAAGCACGTAGTGGTAAATATTTTATTTGGGTAATTAGGAAGAGTCAAAAATGGTTTTCCAGTCCGGTTCCACTAATCCAACCCAACCCATATAGGCATTAATGGTGGCTGGGTCTTCTCTAATAAATTACCACACCTCCCTCTGCTTCTATGGAACCACACATCTAGCTGGCCTCCTGCTCAGTGCGCAGGCGGTGCCCCATTTCCATCGACACTCACTGGTCTGGTCCCTACCCCCCTTTTTTTTTTTTTTAACAATCCAAATATGATAATAATTCTTATAATAAAAATAATTATTTGTATTTTGTACTACTAATTTTTTTAAATAATTCTACTTCAAGCACAATTAAAAATGTTTAATTCACAATTTTTAAATCTAACTATATAGCTTGTGAACGGAAAACCAAAACTTCATCATGTCACAAAAAGATTATATTCATGCACCTATAATAAATGGTAAAATAGCCAACTTCTTTTAGGTTTCCATGGAGATAATATTGGGATAAAAGTAGGAATATCGATGAAACCATTTTTTTCAAAGATTAATTTCTAATCTTCAAATTGTTATGTGCTCACACAATTAGTTTGCTCAAGTTTTATATTTAAATCATGTTTTTGAGTTAATTTTTCTATATTGAAACTAATTTCAATTCTAAGTTTCATTAAATACAAACTATTAAGATTATAATTATAATACTAATTTCTTTCTTTACGACAACGGTTCAAATTTTGAGTCGTGATACAAAAAAAAAAAACATACTTTCTTAATTTTAAATAACTTTTGCATTGAAAGATAAAAATCACCTAATACATTATAGATATAACATCCAATAACTTTATACTTTACGCGTAGAATGTTGTTTATATCATTTTGATCTTAAAATTGTTATGTGCTTACACAATCAATTTACTTAAGTTATCTAATTAAATGATATTTTATATTAATTTTTTATATATTGAAATTAATTTCAACTCTAAGATCTATTAAACACAAACTATTTAGATCATAATTATAAAGTCTCATTTTTTACGACAACGGTTTAAATTTTGAGTTGTAATATATGAAAGAGACATACTTTTCTAATTTTAAGTAATAATTGCATTGAAATTGCGTTAAAAGATAAAATCCCGCAATCTAATATCATATATACGTAACATACGGAATATTGTTTTTATCGTCATGCCATAATAGAATTAGAATTTTTACATTGAATATCGTCGAAATAATAAACACAATATTTAATGTTGAACATAGCATCATTTTATCTGTATACATAGGAGTATGTCTAAAATCCAAACCAAAGTATTGAAAATTGAAATTGTATTAGAAATTAAAATTTTAAAATGGAATCTAAAAAGTGAAAATAAATTACCAAAAAAGGAGGAAAAGACAGCACGATTAAAAAACAAAAACAAAAACAAAAGATAACAGATAAACCACCACCATCTCTTTAACCAAAAAAGACCATGCTTGTCATGTACAGATAGTTACTCCACTCTCTCTCTCTCTCTCTCTCTCGCTTTCGCTCACTCTCTCCAACCTCAAACCCTAACTATTACTCTACCACCACCATTCCCATGTAAACAAATTCAAACTACAAAAAATAATATAAAGAATTTACTAGTACTACAAGCAAAAGGGTCCTTCTCTTCTCTTTCTTCTCCTCTAAAATTCCCTTCTTCTAGTACTCTATTTCTCTTACTCTTCTTCTCCTTCTTGTTGTTCTTTCACTTTCTTACTCCAAACAAAAAAATGGGTTCAACAAACAAAGACCCAATTCACCACCCAACAACCCAAGTCCATTTTCATCATGAAGAAGAACAAAAAGGACCATAGTTTAGACGGGGGTTTTTGTTTTGTGTTGTGATATTGGCTACATTATGGGAAAAGTGGGAAATGGTGTTAATGGCAGTGAAGAGGAGCAAGGAATAGGTACAAGTGATGAGAATGGAGAGCAAAATGTAGAGGGGAGATTTTGTTGTTTCGGATGTAAAGGAAATTTTATTGTTACTAGGTTTATTGGGTTTAGATGTGTTTTTGTACTTTTATTATCTATCGCCGTTTTTCTTTCTGCTCTTTTTTGGTTGCCTCCTTTTCTAAAATTTGCAGATCAGGGGGGTCTGGATCTGGATTACAGGTTCAAAGGTAGGATTGATTTTCATTTTCTTTTATTTTTCTGGGTTTTTGGATTGTGGGTGTTGGCATTTTGAACTAGGGATAGATCTGGATTATTTATTTTTATTTATTTTAGTTTTTTTTTTATATGTTTGATTTATGGGTTTTGTTGGGTGTCGTTGTTGAGCAGTGTCTGGTTGATAGGAAAATGTGAGAAAAATGTGGAATGGGGAATTTATCAATTTAACTCTTTTTTTTTTTGGTTGCTTGAATTTAGGGTTTCGAAAGTGGTTATGATCTGTTGGTGGGTATTGGGTTGGTGAGAAAATGAAGGGCAAAAAAATTGAAGTAATTTTTTTTTTTTTAACTGGAGGAGAATACTGAGGAAACAAGGTGGACTCTATGGTATTTAGCAATTAAAAAGTCTAGTTTGAAAACCTTATTGTAGTTTGACAGTTTTTATTTATTTAGATTTGGTCAAGCTAGAAATATATGAAGAAAGATTTGGGTATCAAAATTTCTATATCAAGGTGGTGGTCTTTTGCATTTCTAAATTGAGTAAAGGTCTGGATTTTGTAGGAATGTACCTACATTTTGGGACGTGGATTTCTGAAATATGGATTGCTTAAGAATGAAATTTAGATGGCTGGTGTATGTTGTATGATTCAGTTTTAGTAAATACAATCACAAGAAATTCGAATTGCACAAAATTATTGCTCAATTATGGGCTTCCTGAAGCTAAATGGGTTTTTGCTTATAGTACCAAAACTGGACTTTGTATACTGTATATGTGTTCTGTAATGATATAGAAGTTACCATGTTCTTGCTAGAGTTTTTTCTTTGTTTTAAATAATTTCTCATGGCAATATGTCTCTACTGAGTAGTAAACAGTGTTGTATTTTGCTCCATATTTGATTATATTAAGTATGAACTTACATGCTTCAAATGTATTAGCCTCTCCACCATCACCTCCGCACTTAATAGTGCTGATATTTGGATTGAAGCTTTAACATAGTGTTGGAGTCTGCTGCTGTGCAATGTTCCATAGATGTTAGGCCTTTATATTGTAGTCATGCATGGCTGGTTTTTAGGCTCTGCAAGTGAGGTTGGTGTGGAGTTCTGTAATGACCAATGGGTTTGGCATGGCTATAAGTCCCAATGAATTGGGAAAAAGGGGTTATTAAGCTTAGTTCAGCTGCATATCTAGTATCTTGTGGATAACTTGAAATGAATCGGTCCTTTAATTTAGTTACTTTTGGTGTTTTTCACTGCTGCTTTTGGAAATGGATACTGAAAAAGCATGTGTAGTGTTTACACCTTTGTGTTTCAATTACATGGCACCTTTTATAGGATTCATTTTCATTTTGGACTAGGAATCACCTTCAGTCACATGGTGCAATGCTTTTTGAAATTGAGATGTTTAAGTAAATATATTGGAAAGCGAAGTGTAAAATGGTTCAGTTGAGAGTATCCTTGTTCATTACAGGCTTTGAGGGATGTATCGTCAAAGCTGCTTGTGTTATTGGATGCCTTTGTGTGTTAAACATCAATGGATTTGTAGATATCCTTTGATGCTTATGCTACGTTGTCAGTGTTGAACAGTGAGTGAATTATATCTCAAAAGAAAAGAAAAGAAAAGAAAGAAAAGAGAAAAGGGTTGGTTTTAAAGCCGTAAAAGAAAAGGGCAAATGAAATTGTGCCTTTCATGCTATATGTTAAGCGGTTGTATGTAGTGAATGATTCTGCTTATTCGATATGCATATTGTCTTCAGACTCCTGTTTTTCAAATTATCTCATGGGTTCAAATCATGAAATTCACTCTTTCAATTTCTGGTATTAATGTGTTCAATCTTTATGTTCTCAGATCATGATATAGTAGCAAGTTTCCTAGTCAATAAGTCAGTTTCCTTGCTAGAGGACAATAAATTGAAGCTTCAAGATGATATTTTTGATGAGATGAATGTTCGCAATACCAAGGTATTCACTTCTTCGATTACTCTTATATTATTCAATCTATACTTTCTCAATTTTGATTCAAATTCATTCGTTTAATCAGGTGGTTGTCCTGTCTCTAGAACCTTTGGCTGGATCAAACATAACAAAGGTTGTGTTTGGGGTTGATCCTCTTAAAAATGATTCAAAAATATCATCAACTGATCAAAGTCTAATCAGGGGCCTTTTTGAATTGTTTGTTGTAAACGAAGCATCTCTCAGACTGACCAAGTCCTTGTTCGGGGATGCATTCTCTTTTGAGGTGCTAAAATTTCCCGGAGGAATTACAATTATTCCACCGCAGAGTGCTTTTCTTTTGCAGAAAGTGCAGATACCATTCAACTTCACCTTGAACTTCTCTATCTTACAAATACGGGAAAATTTTGCAGAGCTGAAAGGTCAACTGATGGAAGGACTAAATCTAACGCCCCGTGAGGTTTGTCAATAATTTGCCTCTTCTCTTTTAAAATGTGACCTTGTTTGCACTGTACTTTACAGCAGCGGTGCAGTATTCAACTTTTGAATGCGTTTTTGTGAATGTAGTGTGGAGTGTGTGTGTATTATCAGTGAGAGATTGCGACTTAGGATTCGGTCCTTCAAAGTTGTGTGAAAAGTTAGTTGGTAGGAATATGTAAAGGAAGGATTTCTTTTCTACATTTAGACTCTTCTTTTCTGACAGGGAGAATACTGATTTTGAAATAGAAATTGCTTTCTGCAATAACTTTTTATTCATCGAAGATTCTATTCTGTGGTTGCTCAAATAGACATATGCCTGTCAGTTTCTCTTGAGAATTGATTCATTTACTGCTCTAGCATTTGCTGTGCAGAATCTGATGGTTTTCTATTGTGGATGCAGAACTTGTATATAAACTTATGGAACTCACAAGGCTCAACGGTGGCTCCCCCTACTACTGTTTTGTCATCAGTTCTACTGGTCATTGGGAATACCCCCAGGTTAAAGCAACTGGCTCAAACTATCAGAGGTCATTCAAAGAATCTTGGCCTGAATAACACTGTTTTTGGTAGAGTGAAGCAAGTTCGTCTATCATCCATCTTGCAACATTCACTCCATGGTGGTGAAGGCAGTGCCCCTTCACCTTCTCCTACACCTCTTCCTCACCCCACTCACCACCACCACCACCACCACCACCACCACCACCACCATCACCACCACCATCACCACCACCACCACCATCATGATGTCCATGCTCCTGCAATTTCACCTGTACCACCAACTAAGAGAAATGCACCTGCCCCTGCGCCTGTTGATGGTTCACCTGCACCTCATAAGAGCAACGAAGCAAAGCCTCCTGGTTGTCAATATGGGTGTAACAGAAGGTTTCAAGGGAATGGTGGAAAGGGGTCTCATTTAGCCCCTTCAAATGCACCTAGTGGTTCTGCTCACTTTTCTGCTACCTCACCACAACCCAACAATGGTCCACCTGCAGTAGCGCCAACCTCTTCCCCGATTTCGCGAACAATTCCTTCATCTAGTCCTTTGCCAAATGTAGTTTTTGCCCATTCTCAGCCACCATCAAGGGGTAAATCTGATGAGCATTCTGACACAATGCCATCAGTTTCGCCATCACCATCGCCATCTTCATGTGAGTGCATTTAATAATCTTTACCAAGTACTTCATATCAGAGATAAAAGCACATATTTAACACTATTTATTTTCTTTGTAAATGGATGAAGAATTTTTCTTTGCCTGGACGTTCATCCTCTTATTATTCATTGGGGTTTCTTTTACTGGATAGATTTAACACAATTATTAATAAATAATAATTTAGGTTAATTTTTCTTTGCATGGACGTTAATCCTCTTATTATTTCTACCTTCATGCATCAATGAGTTGGAGCTGTTGAACCATTATTGCTTATATTCACTTGAATGCCAAGTACTAATATCTACTTTTGCAGCTTCTGCAGGTGCTCTCACTGTTCAATGGACATTTGCACTATCCCTAGTTGCTCTTGTATTACAATTATAACAAAACAAAAGAGGAGCGGTTTACTTCCTAGTTAAAATCACTTCCCTGGGATTCAAAGCACTCAACTGTAGTAGCATCATTCAATTCAGACAGAACGAACAAACTGGAGGAGTTTTAAGTGGGAGCAATGCAAAGGGCGTGCCTCACATCCGAGTGAATATATGTTGTTTTTGTGCGTGTAAATATTTGATTAAAAGTCCAGCATGCAGATGCATTTCAGGTCAAAGTCACAGAGGTGGCAGGCCTTTGTTGCATTGCTGCTGTTTTGTGTATTCTCTTCTGCAGAAATGTAAGGAGGAAAAGAAAAGGAAAAAAAGGCCAAAAAAAGGAAAAAAAAAAACAGAACGAACTTATCAAATTACCATTTTGTTTTTCATCCCTGCCAAGTCAACCAGGTATGATTTTTGATCCAAAGTGTCCCTTATGCTCCTTCTGTTTAGCTGTTGAACTTTTCAGTCTTTTAAAACACAATAACTGGATCTTGTGCATGGTATGTCGATGTTTTGGCAAATTCTGTTCCGTTTATCTCTTTTGAAAAAGAGAATGAAAGGGGGAAAAAGAAGAAGAAAAGGGATGCAGTACTTCAATAATTATTTTGTATTATTTTTGTCCAATTTTTATATAGGAGCATGGGAGGAGGGATCTGGTGGATGAGTGTTGGGTGGATAGGAGTCCATCATAATTTGGCCTTAATGTCGCTGGTCAGAAGAGTACTTTGGTCAGTACATTTCAATACAATTGTTATCAGGGTTGCATCTCAAGGTAGCAAGAGCAGTCTCAATTTCAAACCACCACTGCTTTAAGAGTGATTGATTGAGCTAAAACATTAGTATTTGGTTATTTGTTAAGTCAATTTTTTTCATGGAAAGCTTCCTACTGACCAGTAACACTGGCATGGAAAGGCACAAAGCACATGCTTCATAGTTTTTTGCTGCTTTGAGCAGAGAACAACTTGTGAGACAATATTTTGGCCACTGGATATCAGGTTCGAGTGACAGTTGCCAACATAGTTTGCAACAGCTGCCGTTGCATCTTGTAACCTTTGCTATTTAATGATATTACACCCGTTACCATTATTTGTTGCTATAAGGATTCTAATGTTGTTTTATACAAATAACAACAATAGTGGCTGCTATAGGTATATAACATGCATTAACCACTGCATTTAAAAAAAAGAGTGTATATATTTTATTATTTTTTAGTGATATTAAACTATTAAAATTATTATTACTTTTTTTTCTTTGGTAATAAATTCAAGTAATATGGTATGATATTACAGCATTATAGATGTTATTAATTTATTGTCTTAATCAGTAAAATTACTAAAATATTAAATTAGATTAAATTTATTAATAGTGAATGCATTCAAGATTCCAGTTGTTATTTTATTATTGTAATAAATCATAACTTGTGATCGGATTGCGGTTGTTTCTACTATTATGTTTGCGATATGGAACTTTAGTTACAGACAACGTGCAAGAGTCTTGCCTTCCTTGTCTTTAGTTGTGGCCACTAGTCGGATCTATGGATCCTGTTTCAGTATCAATGGCCTAGAGCCATCAGGCTTGCATTTGAAAGGTGTGGCTTAGAATTTCTTATGTTTTGGTTTTGTTTTGTTTCCTTTCTCGTTCCTTGTTCTTGTAGCCACTAGTCCGGGTGTATGGATTTTGTTTCGTCTGCCAATCGATTCGAGCTGGCTATTAAATCCGTACAAAATTTGCATCCGAAAGTGTGGGCTTGAAATTCCTCCACTTTTGTTTTGTTTTTTCCTTAGTAATAACAATTAAAAAAACAAGCAATTGCCCTAATGTGGACTGGACTGGAAAGATCAAGGAGGGGCTTGATGGGCCAAGATCTGTCTAGAGCTTCTGGAGAATGCATCTTTTCTACTGGTCCTTCGGTACCTTTTGCAATCGGTTTTTTTTTTTTTTTTTTCTCTTGCTCGTTAGCCTTGTAGCCTAAACCAGAGATTTTTCTTCAGAGTTAGTAATTTCTTGCTATATATATATACACACACACTTCAGAGTTTTCTGAACTACTTTCAAAATAATGATACTAATAATAAGATTATCTTTCAAACTTGATCGACGAAACAAATATTTTAGATTTAAAAAATACTTGATTTTGTTAATTAAACAGTATGATTTTTTTTTTTTTTTTTTTTGAATTTGTTTCCTCTCTTAATATTTTATTGAAAAATTCACTAAAAATAATACTTGTGAAATTGCACGGGTTCCTTGCTAATTTCTTTCCATCCCTTATCACGAGTGAGTGAACTTGTGTAAATGAATAAAGTATATGCTTTATTTTTCGAAATAATACTAAAACATGGACTAAAAATTGGAATTGTGAAAATGAAAGATTCTTATAAACAAAAAAATCCTAAGCATGGTATTATACTAACGACAAAAAAAATTGCAGTCTAATTAAAAGTTTTGATCCAAAACAGAATTCTTTTCATGCAGATGATAGGAATTCCAGAAATTTTATGTTACTCATAAAATAAATGATATTTTTATACTAGTTTGTTTGTTCGTAAATCAAAATTAAATATTTTTCTTTTACTGTCTTAAAGATACATTTTAAAAAAAGACAAACACTCATGTCATGCATCTGCATAAAATAGGTTCTTGAAGAAAAACATAAACAATAAAAAAAGAATAAAAGAATAAATAAATAAATTCAGACAGTTTGTTAATGAATGGAGGTGGATCCAGATCCGAAGCGACACAAACTTGGAGGAGCTCTCTCTCTCTCTCTCTCATCACTCGGAAGTGAAAAGTGCTTTGAATTCCATTTCTAAACCAGCTAAAAGACACACACTTGTTGTCTTTTTTGGTTCTTTCACAAAGAAAAATGTCAGAGCTCGTCCATTTGCATACACTCTCTTTCTAACAAAAAATGAATCTTTTTTTAAATAAAAATATCTTTGTGTAGAGAAAGGGATAACCATTTCCCTATCTGCATAGAAACCTCTCTTACTCTTACTCTCTCTCTCTTTTTTGTTTTTGTTACATTGGAACCAACAAATCTCACTCTTAGATTCCCTTGTATCTATAAAGGCACTGCAATTTCTTACTTTTTAACAAAACGTGGAAATTAGTCTCTCTTGATTGAAGTAAAGGTGATTTCTGCTCATTTTCGATTGAAGATTCGATCTTTATCTCTTTTTCAAGTTAATCACTTGGAATTTTGATCTGGGCACTTGTTGTTCCGGTTAAAATATAAAATTTTGCATCATTTCTTCAGGTTCTTAATTTTTAGCTTTCTGGGTCATCTTAGTTATGCTTATGCTTATCAGTTAGTTTGTAAACTTTATTTTTTATTTTTAAGTAGGTACTAACGGAATGCAAATTCGGTTTTGGTAGAAATCAAGAAATATCATCAGGGTGTGATTTGTTTCTGAAAGAAATGGCAAATTTGGGATTGTTTACTGGGACCAAGACAGTGAAGTCAGTGAATGTGAGTTTTAGATTACCATATTATACTCACTGGGGTCAGAACCTAATTGTGTGTGGATCTGAACCAGTCCTGGGTTCATGGGATGTGAAGAAAGGCTTGTTATTGAGCCCTGTGCATCAAGGTGAGGAGCTCATATGGCGTGGAAGTGTTGCAGTACCTACTGAATTCAGTTGTGAGTATAGTTATTATGTGGTGGATGATGAGAGGCGTGTGTTGAGGTGGGAGATGGGAAAGAAGCGTAAATTGGTACTGCCTGAGGGGATAAATGGTGGAGAGAATGTGGAGATTCATGATCTTTGGCAGGTAATGCTTTGTGCTCTTTCTTTCATCCCTTTTCATGCCTTACGAATTGGTGTTTTCCATTTTCATTTCGTAAAAAATGTCGTTTTGCAGGATTCTTTCTCTTCCTATTATTATGGAAATGTATATGAAGGCATTGTTCTGACATATGACGCAACAGATTTCTTGTAGATAGAAGTAGTATAGTAATCACAATGGCTTCTTCATGGTTAGAATTATATCGGTTTCATACTGATTAGTTGGTTAAAAGGAGCGTAGGATTTACTAATAAGAAAATGTTGGTTTCTTCACATGTAACTTGATGACCTAAAGTTCATTTTCATGGAATCAGACTGGTGGTGATGCCATACCTTTCAGAAGTGCCTTCAAAGATGTCATCTTTCGCCGAAGTTGTAGTTTGAAAGTAGAGAGACCCCTTGGAATTCAGAATAAACTGGATATGGAAGGTAATTATACATACTTATTTACTACTCAATCATTGTTGTTGCTGTTGTTTGTGCCTGATTTCTGTTTGCTAACCCTTTCCTTTGTGATTTCTAAACTACAATAGATGCAGTCCTTGTCCATTTCAAAATTTGCTGCCCGGACGTAGAAGAAGAGACATCAGTAAATTCTCTTTCCCCCTACTGAGCTGCTCACATTTGTCAGCAAGCAAAGTTATGCATGCTCTTTTTGGCGTTGCTCCTATTTATGAAGTTTGATATGTCCAGGTATACGTAATTGGCAGCACCGCAAAGTTAGGGCAGTGGAAAGCTCAGGATGGGCTTAAACTTGACTATGCTGGTGATTTAGTTTGGCAAGGAGATGTTGTGATGCAAAAGGGTGATTTTCCAATGAAATATCCTTTTGAAGTATTTCCCTTCAAACAGTTGGATGTTTTCTGAATTATTTTGTTATGGTTACACACTGTGTCTGTGTCTGTCTTCCTTAATGGTTGTTTACGTATAAGTACTCTAAATACGGAAAGGCAGGAAACTTTTCTTTGGAAACTGGTGCACATCGCGAACTTTCTATTGACTCTTCTAGAGTTCAGCCAAGATATATTTTCCTTTCAGATGGGATGATGCGAGTAAGCTATAAATATTGACTTATATGTCACCATATGTTGTGGTGCAGGGTTTGTTGTGATTATAGTTCATCAATTTTTTTCTTAGGAAATGCCTTGGAGAGGTGCTGGTGTTGCAATACCAATGTTTTCTGTCAGATCAGAAGCTGATCTTGGGGTTGGTGAGTTTCTTGACTTGAAGCTTCTTGTTGATTGGGCTGTAGAGTCAGGGTTCCATTTAGTCCAGCTTCTACCAATCAATGACACGTCTGTTCATGGCATGTGGTGGGATTCATATCCGTACAGGTGTGCAACAAAACTACCATTTATAGAACACATAATTTATTATCATAGGGGACTCTTTATAGTTTGTTTTAAGGCATAGTTAACTCGATTTTTCAAGGACAGAGAAAATGCCTTCAATTAAATCATCCGGTAAGAAAAGCAGGTGCTCTGGCATCATGAATTTCATCGTCTGTTCTCTCTAAATTTTCATGGTGTTGCAGTAAAAATGCAAAGCAATTTTTTTGATGTTAAATTTTTGTAGCATACAAGGATTTGATTGGTAAGCTCCTTTAAAGTTTTCTCCTGCCTTGTTTTCTTGATCATGCAGCTCACTGTCTGTGTTTGCATTGCATCCACTATACCTGAGAGTAGAGGCACTTTCAGAAAATCTACCAGAGAATGTCAAGGTGGTTTCTTAGGCTGTTCACTTTATTCTATTCAACATGATACGATAATAAATTTTCTTTATTATATGCTGGTGATTTCAGTGAACTATATCCTTACCTTTTCAACTTACCTTTTATCCATCACTTGTAATAAACACCCTTCCTTTCCTTTTATTTTTCTTGCAGAAAGAAATTCAGGAAGCTAGAGAGCAACTGGATGGAAAGGTAGTTTTTTTGTGGTTCTTCGACTTCACGAAGGAACACATTTCTGATGTTCATCTCTGTTGTTTTTCAGTCACATGTTGTGACCCAATTAAGGAATTGGTATAAGAGAAATTAGCCAAAAAGTGAATCATGATGTTGTATGCTAGCTCTATAGGACTGGCTTTCGGGATCAGTTCTGCAGTGCTTTAGCTCGTTAGAAAGGCATGAGAGCAGCATGCCACAAACATATTATAGATCTATTTTGTATCCCTTAATAGAATTTTGTACCTCGATGTAGTTATTGGATGGGAGGGAACAAGTGTGCTTTTTAGGCAATCTCAAACATCAGTTTAACGGGGATTATTTTTCTCTTTCTGAATAAAAAAAAGAAAAAAGAAAATCCCAGAACTTGTTTTGATTAATTATGTTACTGTGGCTGAACCAGCTCTTGTATTAACATGTTTGAGCTTGGATCTGTGCAGGATGTTGATTATGAGGCCACGCTGGCTACTAAACTTTCAATCGCCAAGAAAGTGTTTGAACAAGAGAAGGATTTGATACTCAACTCTAGTTCCTTTCAGAAATATTTCTCTGAGAATGAGGTCTTAAGGACTTATATTTCTTTTTCCTTGATTAAACTCGCTTTAGAGTCAATTGGTGTTCTAATGTATGTTTTACTTGATTACAGGAATGGTTAAAGCCCTATGCGGCCTTTTGTTTTTTGCGGGACTTTTTTGAAACATCAGATCACAGCCAATGGGGTCGTTTTTCCTGTTTTTCAGAAAAAAAGGTTACTATCTCTTTGGCCTTCCGTTACTCTAAGTTGAGATTAAATATCATTATTAAATTTTATTGGATCTTTCATACATGATAGCAAGGTAATAAGACTTTTGATTCAATTTGCGTAAACAAAGTTATGTTACTTAAATTCTCTGACAAAATCACACCATTTTTTGTACAGCTTGAGAAACTTGTCTCGAAAGACAGCTTGCACTATGACTTAATTCGCTTCCACTATTATATCCAATTTCATTTACATTTACAGGTAAGTTCAATTGGTTTGCTGATATTTGTCTATCATTTGTAATTGCTCTTAAGCCAGCAGTCGGCCTTATATTGTCTGTATCATAATGAACTGCCAGTTGTCAGAAGCTGCGGAATATGCAAGAAAGAAAGGAGTAATATTGAAAGGAGATCTACCTATTGGTGTAGACAGAAACAGTGTGGATACCTGGGTTTATCCAAATTTGTTCCGCATGAATACCTCTACTGGAGCACCTCCAGATTACTTTGATAAAAATGGGCAGAATTGGGGCTTTCCAACTTATAACTGGGAGGAAATGTCAAAAGACAACTATGCTTGGTGGCGTGCACGTCTAACACAGGTTTTGCACTCTGCATATGATGATCCTGAAATTGTTGTGCCTTTATTTTTTTTTCTCCTGATGACCAATTTCTTTGTTTCAATGACAGATGGCAAAATACTTTACTGCGTACAGGATTGATCATGTTTTGGGTTTCTTTAGGATCTGGGAGCTTCCAGAACATGCTGTGACAGGTCTGATTGGAAAATTCCGACCGTCTATCCCTCTAAGTAAGGTATAGTAGCATACTCCTAGCATTCCTGCATAAAAGGTAAGTTCAGATGATGCAAGTGCAATTTAGGCTTGCTATGGGGAACTAGGATTCTTATAAAGCCCAGGCTACCCTTGCAGGCTGCAGCACTAGACCTGCAAGCACTTGCAAAAGCAATTCCCTACTAGTCTCATAAGTTTAAATAATGGTTCTGCTGCAGGAAGAACTTGAAAGAGAAGGAATTTGGGACTTTGATCGCTTGAGCCTCCCATATATACGGCAGGAATTTGTACAGGTTACTGAGTTTTCTTTGTTGGCTGTAATATGGTCTATACTTCAGATGGCTATCAACTTATTGCATTTGACTTATGACCTTAAACTAAATCAGACATTATGAGCATGTTGATTTACACTCCCCCACCCCCTTTTGTTTTTTTTTTGCTTCAGGAAAAATTTGGAGCTTCTTGGACCTTTATTGTGTCAAATTTTCTGAACGATTATCAGAATGGCCACTATAAGGTAAAGTTATGTTTTAGTTGATAATCTTTGAGGTTCACCTCTTAGCATTTTGACTGAACCAGAGTTGGTCTGCTGATGAATTTGGGACTCACATTGAGCCTCAAACAGTCTTGTGAATTCATGTCCAACCTTTTTATATGAACTGACTGAATTTCTGATATTAAATTTCTTCCATTAAATCGCTTATCTGGTTCTTTCAAGTTGTTTTATGGTCTCCATTCTGTTAAAGCTCCAAAATATGTGCTTCTTCTTCTAGCCATTAGATTTATTATATCCCCATATAGAGTGTATTCTTATCTTTCATTTCTAAAATTCTGTTGACTTGTTATAGAAAATCTATGAGCTTGTATTTTGGGACCCAAGTTTGGTTGTGCTACTTAAGCTTCATTTTTCGGACTTACTGTCTGGAAAGCGATTCTGAATTCTTATCATCTCATATCAATTTATATCTGCTTCAATTGTAATGTATCATATTTGGTGTTTTTGTTTGGGTGTGAAAAATTGGTTGACTCATTTTTCTTTAAATTACTCTAGTTCAAGGAGGATTGTAACACGGAGAAAAAGATTGCTTCCAAGTTGAAGATGCTTGCAGAAAAGTCCATGTTATTGGAGAGTGAGGACAAGATACGCTGTGACCTGTTTGATCTTCTGAAGGTAACATACAGTGGAAAAATATTTCTATTCCCTTAAATTTTGGAAGTATGGAATTTATGACAGACCTTTCTCTTGATTGCTTTATGTTGTTATCACTACTAGTCTCGATCTTTGGTTTTGATCTGTTAATTCTGTTTGCAGAATATCGTTCTTATTAGAGATCCTGAGGATGCAAGCAAATTCTATCCTCGTTTCAATCTTGAGGATACTTCAAGTTTTCAGGATTTGGATGACCATAGGTACTCCCAGTGCATTTATTTTGAATGACCTATAGAATAATGTAATCTAAAACTGTTTCATCCCCTTTTGCTTATTAATATTTGGTGTCTAGTAACCAAGCATTAGTTTGTTTCCTTTTTTTTTTTTTCCCTTTAAACAAAACCTCTCAATTTCTGATGATATAGCATCTCTTACCGGTTGTAATGCAATACAGCAAAAATGTTCTCAAAAGATTGTACTATGATTACTATTTCCATCGACAAGAAAATCTATGGAGGCAAAATGCTTTGAAGACTTTGCCTGCTCTCCTGAACTCATCAGATATGCTAGCCTGTGGGGAGGATCTGGGTCTCATTCCTGCTTGTGTTCACCCTGTATGTTTGTCCAATCCTTCCCAACTTCAATTCTAACTTCCCATATCACCACTCCTTTTTAGTTACTTCGTTATTTCAAATCTGCATTCTGTGAAAAATAAGTTTGATTGGATAATGTTATGCAGGTCATGCAAGAACTAGGATTGATAGGTTTACGCATTCAACGTATGCCCAGTGAACCTGACGTGGAGTTTGGTATTCCTTCGCAATACAGCTACATGACAGTAAGTTCTACACTTAATAGTGTTATATTTTTCTGTCTATATTGTGGCCATATCATTGGGGTGCATGTGTTGCCTTGCTCAGTTCCATTAGAATGTAATATATAATTGGGCTGGTAACCTCAATTCTTCTGTTCATGTGCAGGTGTGTGCTCCATCATGTCATGACTGCTCGACCTTGCGTGCTTGGTGGGAGGAAGATGAAGACAGAAGATGCCGATATTTCAAGAATGTGGTGGGGTCTGATGCAATCCCGCCTAATCGATGTGTTCCAGATATAGCACATTTTGTCATAAGGCAACATGTTGAAGCTCCATCAATGTGGGCAATCTTCCCTCTTCAGGTACTGTGACTTGGTTCAATTATCAAACATCAAATCTTAGGGAATCTGCATCATAACCAGTGAAAATTTCATTTCATGTATTAAACTGATATTGATCAAAATATTCATACAAAACCATGGGTTTTTCTTTAATGATCAGGATTTGTTAGCATTAAAAGAAGAGTACACAGCACGTCCTGCAACAGAGGAGACAATCAATGACCCAACAAATCCAAAGCATTATTGGAGATACCGTATGTGTTGCGTTCCATTTCTTTAGATAGAGTTGGTTAGATACATGGTTTTGATTGGCATTTCAATGTATGAATTCTAGCTCCTCTTGTTTCCAGCTAATAAACAAAGCTGTATATTTCTGTCATATTCTCAGGTGTACATGTAACGTTAGAGTCTCTGACAAAGGATAAAGAACTCATAGCAACCATCAAAGGTCTTGTTCGTGGGAGCGGACGCTCACATCCTCCTGTTCAAGAAACCGATGAGCAAGGGAATCAAGAAACGATAGTAATGATTCCAGGCAAGCATCAAGTTGCCGAAGGCAAGGAAAAGATTTCCATTGGAAAGGAACTAGATGGGGTTCCAAGAAAGGAGACTTATGTCTTGTGATATCTTCCACGATGCACATATCTTGCAGTCATTAGGGCTGAAATCATACATAAGCCTTGTACAATATGAGGTAACTATACTTGTTCGCATGAACCGCTTGCGAGAGTCAACATCCTCCTGAAAATTTCTCTTTTACAGTAGAAACGGTCCATTAGAGAATAATTAGTGGACTTAATGGTATGTCAACTTATAATTTTAAAATTTATCCTTTTAATAAATGCATACTATTAGTAAAACAATTCTCTAATGCACCGTTGCTGCATAAGCTTGTACAATTATGACTTAACTGTTGGTTTCGGGAATAAGTGTACATGTTCCCTTCTCATGTCATCATCTTGATTTAGAATAAAAGAGAATGTTGCGAGAAGTTGTCGTCGTTGATGCTCGCTTGTTAAGATCTTAACGAGGAATAATTTAGCCTCGATTTACAAAAACGGATTTGAAGATACTTTTCATACTATGAATGATATCTAACATTAATTACTTTATCAACTAAATTAGTTGAAAACTCATAATGTTCAACGAGTAAATCATAGGGAGTTGCCATGTAACAGTAGAATCTTGTAGCTTATAATGGTTAACCTAGTTACATTTATTCTTGAAAATTGTTTTATGGTTTCCATTAACATGGTGATCATTCTTTTACAATGATGATAATTATTGCAAATCGGCTTTGGGATATGCAGAGGTGTTTTTTCGGGGGAAATTGAACAAAAAGTGAAAAAAAAAGGATGTCAACAAATTTAAGTTAGTTATATATATAAATAAAAGAAAAATATTACGCCGGAAAGAGTGGATCTCAACCGGTTTCACAGGATGTCTCAGCTGCAACGCCAAAAAAAGGGGGAAAAAAAACTGAATAAATTATAAATTAATCTCTCTGATTTTTAGAAACGAATTAATTTGTTTTTTTAATAAAAAAATAATTATTTAATCCTTCTCATAAATTATATGTTTTTTTCCGTTTATTTAAAAATAAAAAGAAAAAATTTATAAAAACATTGATAAGAAAATAAAATATTTTTTAAAATTATTATTAAATTAAATATAATCAATACTGGTTAAAGAATTAATTTATTTCAATGAAATAAGATGATTAATTAATTAATAATTTGCTAAAAAAAGGGGTTAAAGAAAACGATGAATATAAGGTGAATAAAAATCTGCCACGTCTTAACATGACTATCCTAACCTGCCTATTCTGATTGGCCCGTGATAATAACGGTAGGCTAAAATAGGAAAGTCAGAAAAAATAGGAAGGGGGAGGGGGTACGGAGAAACTGAATTTTAAAAAAGCGGAGGGAAGGAAAGGCAGTTAAAAAGAAGGAAAAAAAAAAGGAAGGGTGGTAGGGAGTGGTGGAGAGAGGTTTTTTGGAAATTTTATTTTCCGGTGACCGGACTCGACGCTCCTGTTGCTTTTCGTCTTCCCTGAATGCCTTAATCAGCGTTCAGGGTAATTTTTTTCTTATGTTGTATTTGCTTTGATCCTAAGAAACTTAATCAATAGAAAATAAAAAATGATCATATGATTACTTTTTTTTTTAATTGACTTGTTAATGTTGTTTTATCAATTAGTTGTCAATTTTACGACATGATCCTTATATAATGTTTGATAAATTTATTTATTTTGATCTTGATTCCAGAAAATTGTGGCGATTTATCTGCGAAGGAGCGAGAGATTAATAGGTAATTTATGTGATTTTAGAGGATCTTAACCTCTAAAATGTAAGATGAGAATTTTGATCATTGCATTTTTTTTTTAAATCTGGTTTTGCAGGTGATGAAGGATTCAAAAAAATTGGTACATTTTGGCCTAAATTTTGTGGGCTGTACATAAGTGAAACGAAAGGAATCCTAGCACTTGGCTTTTCCCACCAATATTGTGTAAGAAAACATTGTCTCTCTGTGCTTCTCAGTATATCTTGGTGCTTAGTTTTCTACATTTTCTTGCTTTTCGTGGAAGATTTGTCACAATTATACCAAGGCTATGTGAAAATCTTATGGGTTCATGGCATATTCGATGTCCTACGTCTTCAAATTGTTAAATTTCCATCAAGTTAGATGACATTCCAAAAATTCAGGCAATCTTTTGTAGATTGTTGTAGGAATTTGAATTGCTGTAATCGGAGCAAAGCATTGTAGATGATGAGATGCACACATGTTGGTCACAAAAACAATTTTTTGAGGATTATAGAATCACCTTTGGTTTTTGAATCCTAGATTTGTGATGCTGTTTTTGATTGTTGCCCATTTTCTTGCATTTTCTTTTTCTGTTGAAACATGTATGTTGTTGGTGACTGATTTTGGTGACGTGCCCGTTCTGGATATGTAGAAATATGATGGCTAATCTCCCATGGAAGACTAAACCTCCGGGAATCCTCTGAGAAGAACTGCCCTTGCACTACTGCCATTCTCACCTGCATGAGATTCAACAAAATGGCAGTGGCCATTGATCAACATCATGGATTCAAGCCATTTAACCGATCTCAGAGATGTAGACTCCAATCCTTAACTAACTTTGACTTAAACATTCTTGAACTTGGCCAAACCAATCTTTCCAGTTTAAAACAAGCATTTGAAGCTGTTAAACTTCACAGAAGCTTCTCCAGTCCATGCTTTTCCTTGGCCACTCGGGTCGAAGAAGGGTTCGACGCTACTCCACGGATTGAGATTCTTGGTGGCCATGGAGCCCCGAGAGTCCGTGCTCTTGTTGTTGAGGTTGCCATCGCTTTGGCCTCTGGTGTTGATCCCATACCTGTAGCAAATGGACTAGGTGGTGCTTACTTTTTGCGCAGCAAGAACGGAGATAATATTGCACTGGCAAAACCAATTGATGAAGAACCTTTAGCCATCAATAACCCTAAATGCTTTGGGGGACTGATGCTCGGCCAACCTGGTATGAAACGCTCGATTCGAGTTGGCGAAACTGGAATTCGTGAATTAGCTGCTTATCTACTAGACCATGGTGGGTTTGCTGGGGTTCCTCCAACAGCATTAGTAAAAATTTCTCATGTCAGATTCCATGTTAACCGTGCAGAGAATGTTTCAGCTCCTCCCTACAAAATTGCCTCACTCCAACGTTTTGTAGATCATGAATTTGATGCAGGGGAATTAGGTGCTTCTGGTTTTTCGGTTGCTTCAGTTCATCAGATTGCGATTTTTGATGTGAGAGTCCTAAATCTCGATAGGCATGCTGGAAATATACTTGTAAAAAGTAACGATCAGAAGGAAAAATATGCCGCTGGGGCAGCTGAGCTTGTGCCGATAGACCATGGACTTTGCCTACCTGAGTGGCTTGATGATCCTTATTTTGAATGGTTGCATTGGCCTCAAGCCTTGGTTCCCTTTTCAGAATCTGAACTTGAGTACATATCCAATCTCGATCCATTTATAGATGCAGAACTCTTGAGATCTGAGCTTAGTTCTTTAAGGGAATCATCTATCCGAGTTCTTGTCCTTTGCACTATTTTCTTGAAGCAAGGTGCTGCAGCCGGCCTCTGCCTTGCCGATATAGGCAAAATGATGACTAGGGAGTCTTGTAGTGGAGATGAAAATATGAGTGTGTTAGAGAATCTTTGTTCGAAAGCAAAGGAAGCCGTCGTTAATACATCAGATGATGAGGAGAACAATATGGATAGCGGAGAAGAAAAGGATGAGTTTGAACTATTTCAATTCGATGATGAGACCGCGCTCGCTTCTGCTGAAGCAATGGATCTCCCTCAGCTTTTACAGTTCCCTCCTGAGATGGCTAAGCCACCTAAAATTCCAAAGTTCTCACCTGTAAGATCAGTGCCTAGGTCGCACGACGAAGAATTATCTCCATTGTACGAGAAAAATGATCACGAAGTCGAAAACTATAGCAGCGGTGATGACAGCAAAAAGACCATCAAAGAAAATGGTGGAGACAACAATGGGTATGACGGCAAAATTGGCGGTTTTACGAGGAGCAAGAGTTATTCAATCGGAAATAGCGCTTGCGAAGCTGATGGCATTTCTTTTGGAGACTTGAGTGAAGGTGAATGGGAATTGTTCTTGGAGTGTTTCGAGAAGCTGTTGCCGGAGGTTCTTGAGAGCTCAAAATGTGGCAGCTTGAAGCAAAGGTTGGGAACTTCTTGCAAGTTCTGAGAAAGTCGAGGGGTGCTTGTATCTAGTTGGAGAAGCATGTAAATTGCCCCCATAGATTGTAGATAAACATTTAGGATTAAAAAGTGATTGGCGTAATGCCATCCTTTTCCTTTATTTTTGTTTCTCTCTTTCAATTTTCTAATTTCACACTGTATACAAAACTGTGAATATTGTCCATTACATGCCATTGATTTGGTTTTCTTGCTAGAAGTTGTATTTGAATTTTTCGCAGTTCTTGTAATTTTAAGTAAATGGCTCTGTCAAGGATGGTTTCAACTACAGAAACCAAGAAATAGTTTCTGCAATGATCAGGATCACATGGTTTTTATGCCTATTCTTACAAGGTTCCAAGGAGATTTTGGTAAAATGGAGTAGATGTAATCATAATTTTAAAATCATAGACCAAGTTGTTAAAAACGATTGTGATTATGATTGCACATGTAAAATAACAGTAGTGGCCATCAATATTATAAATATATTAATAACTATTAATAAGCAATTTTAATTCATATATTTTTAACCGTTTTAATAATTAAACATAATAGTTTAATATCTATAGTTAAATTTATTAAAACAAAAGTTAATAACACTTTTATTAATTTAATATCACACAAACAAATTATGTATACAATAGGAGCATTATTATTGCTATTTGGAGCAATATTATTGTTATTTGTGTGAAATGTTATTGAACTCTTTATAACAGCGTATGACAATAATTAATATTTGTTATTTGAAACTATAGACGTAATAAAGAATCGTGCTGGAATAATTCTTTCAAATTAAGTTGAGAGTTGATGCTTCTAAAAATAATGCAATTTCTGAAATGAAATGCCAATTACCTCATGTAATTTCTGCAAGGTAAACTAGGATGAATTTCATTTCATATATTTCATACCAGAATCCAATCACCAACTTTGTAATAGGGCTTTAGCCCAATGAAGATCAAAGCTTGAATCCAGTACAAAACAAAGCCTGTCAAAACAAGCCCACTAGAGATATCCTACCTGGCAGGCTGGCACTCTTCGATCTTGGTAATAAAGAAGATAATAAACAGTAAAACCAACCCTGAAAGGAATAAAAAAACAAAGAAGAAAAAGCTAAACAATTGAAGGCCGCACGTGCAGCTGAACTGAACCTGACAGGTGATGATGACCCACTAAAACTGCCAGACTAGTCCACTTAAAGAAACAAAGAGAGGGGAAAGAAGGATGCTTTGATACTTGTCGAGAATGAGCAAAGACAGAAGACAGAATTATCACCAGTTTTTATTTGGGTTTTTGATTCCATTACATGAAACATATGTTTCTTTTTTAGTACACTCTAACCTAATCTAATCTAATCATACATGAAATGAAAAATATCCCAAATTCTACTTTCTTACTTAATCTCTCTAATCCCATCAACAGACCTCCTCAGTGTGCTAAAATTGACCATTTTTTCTTCACTAACCCCAACTTGCTGCTTATCTTTTTCTTCTTGATCACCTCCTTCTTTGTGTTCTAAGCTCTGATGATGAAAACAAAGACTAGAATCATCTACTCTTTCTTGGGTTGATGCCACCGAGTTGAAAGATCCAAATTTGGGTGTGAATTCTTGAGAATTGCCGCTGAATTGGGTGTCAAAAGTGAAGGAAAAGTTTGGATTTGATGGGGTTAGTTCTTCAATTTTGTCAAGTGCTGATGGACAATTTTTTCTTCTCTTGGATTCTCTGATTGTTTCTTGCTCTTCTTTCTTGGATTTATGGCTTGAAGAAGTGGATAGTAATGATGGGTCTTGGCTGGAATCTTGAATTTTTGATGTTTCTTCATTGTGGTGTTTCTCTGCCATTATTTTGGGTCACTAGGAGAAGAAGGACATAAAGATAAAAAAGACTTTTCTTTTGGACAGCTGTTTAATATGGTATGTCCTGAAATGACTAAAGAAGGTCTTTACTTGTTGATGTAATTTAAAAAGATTCTGTCCTCTGCAAACTGCAAATTAAAAAGTAACAAGTAGTGTATGGTGATACTGTAAAAGGCAAAAAAGCCCACATGGGAAGGACCCAAGTGTTCATTTTTTTTAAGGTTTAACACTCAAGGTGTATGCACCTTTCAAGTCTATTTTTTTTTTTATATAGCTAAAGAAAATTTTTTAATATACAATTTCAGTTAATTAGATAATTGTTGACTAAAAACATCAAATTCTAAATTTGACCTATGTTTACTTATGAGACTACAATTTTGTAGTTATCTAAATCTTAATTCTATAAATCCTAATAATAATAAATTAAGACGACTTGTTAGTTATCATCAATGTAATCATACGACTAGTTGTTGAGTTTTTTTTTCACACACACACATATGTATTTTTTTGAATTCAAATATTGAGAGAGAGGAATATATTTGTTTAAATGTATCATACTCATGTAGATGATAAGTTCTTAAAATTATTTGAAAAAAAAATCGATTAATATAAACTAGAAGAATATCCTGACCAACAAATAAAAAAAATTGTTAGTAATGTTAAAATAAAAAAAGACAACTTCTTAAGAATCTAAATTAATATATTTGCTTCATATTTTTCCTGCTAAAAAAAATCAATTCACCTTTCAAATGATTCAAAATATCAACCTTTCCTTTCATTAAAATATGAGATAATTTGATGCACTAATTGAAAGGTTTGGATGGCATTTTTGTTTTTTATCATATAATTGGATGGCATGTTTATACTCAAATGGAGAGAACATGAAATCGAAAAGGCATCAACCTATGCGAATCGAAGAAGCTCAATATACGGCCCGTCACAGGACCCTATTTCTTAAACAAAAATCAATTAGGTAATTACAAAGAAAAGCGTGAACTGAACCTTTTTTTTTATTATTATATATCTCTTCATAGGTTCATTAATTTTCCATATATACCTTTATAGTTTGAAAGTTCTCAATGTTAACACTATAGTAGATTTAAAAAGTTTTCATTTTTTTTCCTAATTTTTAATAATTAACTAGCATAAAGATGACTTCGTAATTTTATTTCTTTTAAATTATTATTTTTTTCTTCAAATCCTCATATGGGTTATGATATCTCAAAAAATACTCAAGAGCCTAAAATAAAAAAAACCTCAAAAATAAAAATAAAAATAAAAGGTAAACTATTTAATGGTTATAAATAGTATTAAAGTCTATTGGAAACTAGAAAGGTAGTACTGAAAAATTAAAAAAAAACACTAAAACAAAATGTGTTTTACTATTTATAATACTATTTATATACTCACAAATCACTATTTATTTCACTATTCATAGTATTTTTGTAACATTTTAGTCATCAATTTTTCTATGCATTTTTTTTTTCAATTTTGAACTTATAAAAAACACTGAAGCAAAGTATATATTTACTATTCATAACACTATTCACATACTCACAAATCACTATTCATTTCACTATTTATAACATTCACTTTGGTCCTTAATTTTTTATGCATTTTGTTTTTCAATTTCAAACTTCAATTATATTGTGATTTGTTTCCATTTTGTTTTAGTGTTTTTTTGTTAATTACTTTTGTTATTTAAAATTTATTATTTTAATTTTTTTATTTTTTAAATTCTCATCCAATTAATTTAAAATTATATTTACTGAAAGTTTTGATTTATTTATATATATATATGGATTTTGGAATAAATTTTTAGAACATGATTATTTTTTCTTTTGAAAAATAGATTTAGATAATTTTTACATTATAGTGGCATGATTAATATATATAATTTGCATAAAATACATTTTTAGATTAAAATTGTATTTCAAGTAAATTTTCTCAGCTTTTTTAGAAAAAAACTCAAATTAATTAATTAATAGTTGAAATTCAAATATAAGAAATAAAAGGAGATGTTTGCTCTGTGCATGAGGCCTATATTCAAAGACTAGCTATACATAGCATGAAAATAAAAATTATTTAAGGAGGAAAAAACAAAAAATTCATGTATTAAATTTGTTTCTTCTTCATATAATCAAAATTAATCTAAATCAAAATTTTATTAATTTTTATTTTAGCTTATTAACTTCAAATTTAGTCAATATATTCATTGGCAGTTAATTTTTTTTTTATATAGTGTTTTTTGTTTCATGGTGAAAACTGCGAACCCACTTAATATAGTTATGATGTATAAAAAAATATTGAATCGTTATTTTTTTAGAAATTAATCGTGCAACTCCTACTATATTAAGTATTTAATATTTATTTATTTAATATTTTAAAATTAATTTATTTTAAATTAAATAATTAAAATTATGTTTTGGCCTAACCACTCAATGATTTAAATTAACATAGTTTTTTGTTTTAATATTATTCATTCTTTTGTGAATAAATATATACAAATTAAATTCAAAAACCGATATTCTCATCAACATTAAATAAAAATAATTTTTTTTTCAATTCTATGTAAGTTTTTATTAATTGTTATTTTAGTTTTTTGACACAATCTTATGAAATACTAAAAATTTTTAAAATTTTTTATTTAATTTTATTTTTAGTTAATAATCCATGGATTAAAAAGGATAAATATTTTTTCTTAAAGAAAATTTATGAAAAACATAAATAAGAAATAGTTAACTAAAAATTTTTGATGAAAAAGCTATTTATAATTTTTTTTCTTTTGATTTCATATATTTTTATAGATTAACACCATAACGTAGATTATCAAATTGAAATGATTTTTATAAAATGACTTCATATATTTTATCTAAACCGCACCGTAACGTAGGCAAAAAAGCTAGTTTTAAATTATAAAGGTAGCAATGAAATATTTAGGTGTCTATAGAGTTTTAGGGTAGCAACAAAATATAAATTATATATCCACTTGGACCTTTTCATAATAAAAATAAAAAAAAATTATCTCATAAAATTATTTATAAAAGGTTTATTAGATCAGATTTCTAAAGCTTAAGAGTTGAAAAAAAATACATTGTAAGTTGATCCAATATTGATACTATAGAATAGAAACTTCAGGGGGAGTAATTAGAATTTCTCCAAACCTCAGGGTGTAAATTCAAATTAACCGAAAAATGAAAAAACAAATTCGGAAACATCTAGATATATGTGACCAATGAGCAAATCGGCGAATAGGTTTTGGACTTTACTTTGTTGGTCAATTAAAATGTCTCGTCGTCGTCGGTCACGGGCAACCGGATCCTCGTCCGCCGATTCCACCACCACCATGGCAATCAGCATTGAAGATCACCAACTCCCATACGACACACACAACCTGTACGATGTCAACTTCTACGATGACAAGATCCACACTTTAGTCACCCACACCCCTTCCTTTGTCAACACATGGGTAGCCGACGCCCAACAAAATCTCCACCAAAACAGCAACCCTATTGATCATCCCCTTCTAGTCGGCCTAGACATCGAGTGGAGACCCAACAGGATGCGTCACATCGAAAACCCAGTTGCCACAATCCAACTTTCCACCGGCAAAGACTGTTTGATCTTTCAACCTCTGCATTGTCCCACAGGTATCCCGCAATCCCTTTATGATTTTTTGAGCAACAAGACTTATACTTTTGTTGGGGTTGGTATTGGGAGCGATGTGGAGAAGTTAGTGGAAGATTATGAGTTGAGTGTGGGGAATGCTGTGGATTTAAGGGGTTTGGTTGCTGAGAAATTTGGGGCTGTAGATTGGAAGAATGCTGGGCTAAAAAGGTTGGTGAAGGAGGTTTTGGGGAGAGAATTTGAGAAGCGGAAGAGGGTTACTTTGAGTAGGTGGGACAATGAGTGGCTTACTGCCGCTCAAGTTCAATATGCTTGTCTTGATGCCTTTTTGTCTTACAAGATTGGGGAGAGTTTGTATGCTGCTTGATGATGGGATTTGAGGGGTCTTAGTTTTATTTAAAGATTATGTATGTATCTGGGATGGTTTTTTTTTTTCAAAGTAATTTTCAAGTTTCAATGTGTGGTGAATGCTGTTTCAACTGTTTTTATGTTGCACTATGAATTAATTATGAAGTTGGAGTTCTTTTAAGTTGTGTAATTTGTCACAATTATTCTGCCCAGAAGAACTAGTACTTTGTGTAATTGGTGTAAAAATAACGTCCTTTATATAACATAACATAATGTCTGTTATATGATGAATTCGGATATCATTATAGAGAGGATAATGACACGACGTTTTACATAAATAACAGCATTAATATACATGCTATTATTGATATATAATACGATTAATTGGTAAATAATCGCTGTTATTTAAAATAAATGACAGCAGCATTCATGATATTTTAACCTGTAATCGGGATTTGTAATCGTGATCGCCACCTTTTTTACAACCATTTCCATTTTGTGATAGTGTTGATGGACTGGACCTTTCAGGCTGTCTTTCAATATTTCATAGATACGTAAAAGAAAGGCAATGCAATCTCCAAAAATCATCTCTAAGTACAGCCCTCTCTGCTCAAGAATGGTGCTTTCTGTTTTGGATGTCATCAATAGCCATATACTCAGTTACCTCTTCCTAAAATTGTTTTAGACAAAAGAATTTGTACAGAAACATTGCAAGAAATTGGTGTGGCTCTTTTCAGTTAAACAGATGCAGACCTGACCTTTTCAACTGGCTGTCGATCCTGAGATTACATTTCAACCTCATCATCTTGGTATAGTATAAGATCCTGAGAGATATAGTCAGTGCTAACTTGATTAAGAAAAGACCAACAGAAACAATAGCCACAAGCTTCCTCCGATACTATTGAAGAAGAGATTCCCCGCCGCAAGGAGACAGGCTGGTATGGAGCTCGGGAGGTGCATCTATGTAGCTGAAAAGAGATTACTGTTAAAAAAACAGGGGCAGTTGCAACCTTGATAATTGCTTTAAGATAGGCATTTTATTATTTGAAAATATTCAGCCATATATAAAGCAAACAAACTAATGTGTCGCTGTCATTTTAGTTTTCTACTGCAAAGTTGAGCATTTTCACATTCAACTATCATTTTCCATGTTTTGGTAGGTTAGGCGGTCTAAATTTGTACGTCAGAGATTAAATTCTCTCTAGTGATCTTAAAGGGACATCCTAACGTTGATGTCTATTGCATTAATATATATATATATATATTCTCATAAGTAGTAATATGAAGATTTGTACATCAATCAAGATTAAGTTTTCTCTTTGCATGATCTTAAAAGGGACACCCTAAGACTATTTCTAATGCATTCAAGAGTGTAATATAATCCCAGGAGTGGTAAACTGAACATTCGACCTCAAGAAAGGTATCTTTTGAACCAATTTATATGTTAATCTGAATTAAATTTTCTCTAGTAATCTTAAAATACCCCCTAATATCGATATTTAGTGCATTCAAGAATATACTGTATTCTTATGAGTGATAACCTGAAACTTCGAATTCAAAAATTATAATTAAATTAAAAAATATAGTAAATCTTCATAACTATCAAGTCAATTCCTTTGAATTTAAAATTTAAAATTCCATTTAAGAGTTGATGGGTTCTAGCAAATTTATAGGTAAACATAGCATATAAATTTTTATTGCACGGATCTTCATCACCTTTGATAAATGATAGGAGCCAAAGCAAAATTCAAAATAAATGGGCTACAACATGAAAAAGCCACACATGGGCTCACACAAGACAAATTGGGTCAAGAAAGAAAATAGTCCAATTTTGGTCTATCGGAGCTCTGCTCAACCTTTATCGCTCAAACGGCTAAGATTCCCTCCCTTCAAATGCTCTTCTTTTTTTTTGTAGTAGTTTAAAATCAGCTTTGTTATTTTTGTTGAAGCATCTCTCTTGTGAGGCTACCGTCTTGCTTCTAGATGTTTCCATTGTCGAGTTGTAACAACAATAACCAACCGTACTTGCCTATAAATAGGCACTTCTTCGTCTTTGTAAAGTGAGTAAAAATATACATAAATGTTTTTTCTCCATTTATCATGGTATCAAAGCAATACCTTCCTTTAGTCAAATCTTCCGTTAAGCTTTCCGTAGCTTTTTTTCTTTTGCTCTCGCTTTCTTTAGAGTGTCGATGTTTCCCTTTCAATCTTCCATCATGTCGGGAAATACTTCTTATGCAAATGTTATTGGAAACCAAAACCAAAAACAAAATCATACAATCATAAGGCCGGAAGAACCAAATAGCAAGCCCTTATTACCTACATCCAAATGAGAACCCCGCTCTCACTTTAGTCTCTTCTCCTTTGATTGGAGCAAACTACCATTCCCGGTCCAGATCTATGAGAATGGCTCTCTTGTCCAAAAAAAAATTGAAGTTCATTGATGGCACCATTACCATGCCACCCAAAGATGATCCAAGCTATGTGTACCGGGATAGGTGCAACACAATGGTCCTATCTTGGTTGATGAGATCCTTGTCAAACTCTATAACTCAAAGTGTAATATGGCTAGACTCGACTTCGGAGGTATGGAAGGACTTAGAGGAAAGATTCTCTCGGTAGATTGCTTTCGCATTTTAGACCTACAAGAAGAAATCTATAACTTTCGACAAGGTACTCTCAACATATCAAACTATTACACTCATTTAAAAATGTTGTGCGATGAGTTTTTTTAACTTGAGACCCCTTCCAAAATGCAAATGTGAGCCACAATGCACTTGTGATTCACTCAAAATTGTCAAATCATGCCGGGATAGTGATTGTGTCATAAGGTTTCTAAGAGGGCTCAATGAATCCTACTCTATTGTGAAATCCCAAATTATGTTGATGGATCCTTTACCGGACATTAAAAAGGTATTTTTCATGGTTGCACAACATGAAAGACAACTATATAACACTCATCAAACTCCATACCAAACCAACTCCCCGAACCTCAAGCTTACTTTGCCAAAACAGACACCGAAGACCACTTCCAACGGAATAAAAAACCTATATGCACCTACCGCAACAACCACGGTCACATGGAAGACAAATGTTACAAGAAGCATGGCTTCCCACCTAACTTCTCACCCATACCTCGATCAAATCAACATTCATTCAGGGATTATACTAAAGCAAGATTCAAAATAGCTCATTAAGTGGAAACTCACCTTGCTTCGACCTCGAAAATGAGACTCAGTCTCCATTTCCACCACGAACTCGATGCAGCAAACACTAGTTTCACCCTTACTCAAGAGCAATACAGATCAATCGATGAACTCGTTAAACCAAAATTCAGAATCAAAGAATGGCCCAACACACACTCCTCAAATCAACACGGTTTTCAATGACGATCAAGGTATAAGCTCACCTATTTCATTTTCTTCTCTATGGTCATCCACATGGCTCCTTGATTCCGATGCCACATATCACATTGTTTGCAATCCTCGTTTATTTTCCAATCTTGTGCCTATTAAGGAAGTCACAGTGAGGCTATCCAATGGCCAATATATACATGTTACACATATAGGAACAATTAACATTTCATCCATTACTTTAACCAATGTTCTATATTCCAACATTTTCTTTCAATCTCATTTCCATTAGCAAACTCACACATTCATCCCACTCGCCAACTAACCTTCACTTCTCATTCATGCCTTATCCAGGATCTCCACTCCTTGAAGACGATTGGTTTTTCTGGACAAAACAACATCTTATATTATCTTTAACCATAATCTCTTGTCAACTCTTCATCTCTCTCGCAATGTCACATCTCAACAACACAGCCTATGGCATCCAAGACTAGGACATCTCTCCAATAATAGACTACAAATGTTATCTACTATTCATCCTAATATTCATTTCCATAATGTTACACAATGTGATGTTTGTCATTTCGCCAAACAAAAACGATTATCTTTTCAACTCGGTAATTCTCTTGTTAAATCTTGTTTTGATTTAATACACGCCGACATTTAGGGACCTTACCATACTCCTTCTCTATATGGCTATCGCTACATCCTAACCATTGTGGATGATCATAGTAGAATGACTTGGATATACATGATGAAATCCTAATCCGAAACTAGGCGACACATTAAAAATTTCTTTGCCTATGCTTGAAAGACAGTTCAACCAAGCACATCAAATGTATCGAAGTGACCAAGGCCTAGAGTTTTCTATGATAGATTTTTTCCATGAAAAGGGAATTATCCATGAGACTAGTTGCATAGAAACTCCTCAACAAAATGGAAGAGTCAAAAGGAAACATCAACACATACTAAATGTTGCTAGAGCATTGAAAATTCAAGCTAATCTTCCCATCAAATTTTGGGTAGATTGTGTTCTACATGCGATATTCCTCATCAATTGTATACCCTCTCCTATACTCTCTCAACAATCTTTTTATTTTGTTATGTTTAGAATTAACCCCGATTTGTCTTCTTTGAAAGTATTTGGCTCTCTCTGTTTTGCTTTAACGAACAAGCATTTATAGATAAATTTGACACAAAAGCCGGAAGATGTATCTTTCTTTGTTTTTATGAAGGTACAAAAGGCTACAAAGTTTTTGATATAGACTCATAGGAATCATTCCTATCCAAAGATCTGATTTTTTATGAAAATCATTTCCCTTTCCAAAACTCACCGCCCGAGACCACCATCCCCACTCCCATTCTACCCCTCATACATCCTACCCCTCCCTATGACTCCATTACCACCCCTCCCCTATCACTACCCACCTCTACCCCAATGCCTCCACCTCTCGCCTCCCCCTACAACAAACTCCACCTTACCGCTCCACCGGAACATCCAAACCTCCTTCTCACCTCCATGACTATGATCGTCCTACAATTCATCATACCTCCTTACATACCCTCTCTCACGTTCTCTCCTATCACAATCTTTCTCCCACACATCACACCTTCTCTACTACCCTCACATCATTCACCGAACCTAAAACTTACAAACAAGCTATGC